CAAGAACTTCTTGATACTGTAGGATTCACAGTTTGTCTGGTTATGCTGGTTTGTGATGACAACTACTACCGTACAGTATACAGGTAACACATTTCCTTTTTTGTTGTTCAACAATAAATGCGTACCATATTCCTCTTCATGGAAAAATAAGATATCCCCTGAAAATAAGACCTAGTGCATCTTTGGGAGTAAAAATTAATATAAGGCACGGTCTTATTTTCGGGGAAACAGGGTAGTTAGTATCCAGTCATTTCTGACTTGTGCCAACCCCATGTGTGTCAGAATGGAGTCGTGCTTCCTAGGATTATCCAGGGCCAAGTTTTGGAAGTAGATAACCAGGCTTCTGACCAAAGCACCTCTGGGTCGACTTGAACTGTTAATCTTTTTATTAGCAGCTGAACACATTAATAATTCGTAGCACCCCAGGGCTCAACATGAGGTCCCATGAGTTGGGCTTGACAGGGACTAAACGAGTATTCTTATATGCAAATAGTGATTACTAACGCCATTTGACCTTTAGCTAGCTCCTCTTTGAGACAATGCCCCTGGAAAGAAGTCGCATAAAGGAGGAGGTCCCCAAGACTTACATCTCTCCCAATCAGGTCCTCTTGGTTCTCCACAATCCCCCAGGGGGCAATGCCTATGGTGCATATCTTCCCCCGAGATTTTGATGCATGGTCCTTCAAGGCATCTCCAACATGGCGAATTACACCTAAGAGGAAAAACACAAGTATTAATCTTGCTTTTTCAACCAATTACTTTTCCACTGGTTTAAAGGAAATTATGAGAACTGAAGGGTCCCTGAATGTTAAATGCACTGACTATAAAATGATGGCCCATGTCCACTTAAACCACATACACTTAGAAGAGAATATACATTTCCTGCAGTCAATATGAATTTCTTATTCTAATTTATAGTGTGTCGGGGGGCAGGGGAGAACATCCATCATGTGTAAAAAAAAGGTAAGCACAATTCTTAAAATTTAGAGAATATATATAGATGAGGAAGTATAATAATGACTAAGAAGTAAGAGCTTGACTGTATTATGTAAAAGACACCCCACCCACTGTAGTTGAGCTGGTTTCCATTTATAGCAATCCCATATGATAGGTTTTTCCAAGGCTGTAAATTGTTGCAGGAAAGGATAGCCTCAACCTTCTCTCATGGAGTGACTGCTAGTTTTGAACTACCAGCTATGTGGTTAATAGCCCAGCTTCTAACCCACTGTGCCACCAGAGCACCTTAAAAAGTACCATATAGAATGCTACATCTATTCCTTAAGAGGGGGCTTCAGAAGTTTCATAGAAAGTGCAATTAAAAGATAATGAAACGTTTTTCCATGAACTTTTTGAAGTCCCCTTCTAATTCATGTATGAATTAGAGTCATTTGACTAGTTACTAAGGCAACTTTCATGAATCTTAATGCCATTTTTCTACTTATAAATATTCAGTGTGGAGAGCTTGCCTATGAAAAGAATAATGGCAGATTCTGTGGAGAATTAATATTAAAAATAACAAAGACACATTTTTTATCTTAATCAACTTAATTGATTTTCTCCTTTAGTAATATGGACTTCTGTCATATGGTTAATGTTAGAAACAGCAGTTTCCAAGATGGTAGGAAATCTAGCTCCCAACTTTCTTGCAAATCACCTAAGAAAGATACAATTTTAACATTTTAATTTTTCTCTTAAATGAAGAGTCATAAAATATTATCCCTTAGAAAAGATACCTCCACTTATCAAAATTCTACTATTTCTCATAGAAAATTCCACATCGAATGCCATTTCCTATATTAAAGCTGGGTTGATTTAATTTCTTCTTCATTTGAGCACCAATTGCACATTGATCAAAAATGTCAATATGCTGCCTAATACATTCTGTCATGGTTCATAAACATATGAGAGAATGTCTCTTCTCATAGGATAAAACTCTTTGAGGGGAAGGCTAGAGGTCACCTCTGTGTGCCCCTGGAGTTCGCACAAAGTACAGGCTCAGAAACTGTGCACTCAAGCAACAACACACTCAAACACAGTGCGCAATTTAATCATGGGAGAGGACTCATGTGGGAAATTGCTCAGGCCTGAAACATTCATAAAACCAAAGACAAAGCTCTTCCTTTAAAAATTAAAATAACAAAATAATGCAAATAGCCCCCATTGAACAATGCTTGGGGAGTTGTAGAGAGCTGTCCTTCCACTTACTAGTTCAACTATTTTCTAAATGGCAGTATCTGTAAAGAAAAACAAAACATAAGCATCCCAGCATTAGAACTTCACTCTATGTTTTGAATTGAACACTAATCTTGGAGTGAACACATATGTGCTCTTCGGTTTGAAAGAATTTATGCGGAAAATTCTTTTTGATTGATACTGGTGCATTTTATAAAAGAGAACAAAAACAACAAGCAGTGCTAGTGCTTGCTTCAAGTTCCTGGAAATAAGATATTTGCAAGTTTCTTTTAGCTGCTAGTACCACTTGAGTTGGTCCCCATATGGGGTGCAAGTAGTATCGGCGAGCAAAAGATTGGCTAGCCACAAGCGAGTGATGCTAGC